TTTGCTTAACCAAAAAACAAGCTTTTTTCATTCTGAATATTGGCTGCTGTGACTATTCTTAGTAAAATTATACTCCAAATTTATTGCTAAGAACAAAGGCCTTCGCCTGCCTCTATATTTAAGTAATGGAGTCTCTATCAAACGGTCCAGAGTATAGTGCTTTTGGTAAAGGTTGTAATATTGGTTAAATGTAAAGGAATTCTTCCTAGCATGTCTTAATTCCAGCAGATTCTCTACAAATGAATCCTAAAGCAGGGGTCCCCAGCCTCTGGGCTGTGGACCAGTACCAGTCCGGACCACAGAGCAGATGAGCTTGAATTTAATGCACTTGAATCATCCAGAAACTATTACTGTCCCCCTCCCAGGTACATGAAAAAATTGTCTTTTGTCTTCTATGAAACTGGTCCCTGGTGTCAAAAATGCTGAACATCGCTGCCCTAGCGCGGTGGTTTTTAACTAGGAATGAGCAACAAGAGTCACCCTGGAGACTCTGAGCAGCCAGTTTGCAGAGGGATTTGAACATGTGCATTTGGCCAAGCTTTCTTTCCAGGTGATTCTCTTGTGCACCCTGGCTCTTACGTCATTTGCTTTTTTCTTTACTTCCTGAAAACTCAATGATGCTTTAAAATGAAGTAACAACAGTCTTTCTCTGGGCTGTAATCACAGACATTTTACCTCCTGGTACTCCTACAAATACTGGCATAACTCAGAGTCAACTTTTCATGACAATTATGTTAAGACTAGGCTCAGTGTGCCACTGAGAACTGTAGCTCCGTGTCTGTGTGTTAACTCTTCTGATCCCTCTACACTTCCGTGGCACACACAGCAGTTATTTGTTAGTCCAAAGTAATTTTGTACTAATGAAGGCCTATGTGGCAGGCCAGCTGCTGGCTTCTTGTTTATTTAATGGAGCTGCCACTCGACTTAGTGTCAATCCCATGATCTACTTACATGTGTAAGATCCATGTGCCGCTCTTACGGAAGCGGGCGCCTGATCTCTGTGTTCTTCCCAAGAGCCCGGACAGAACTTTTTTGTGGGGTTCACAAGTTATATGTTGGTTTAGTGTTTTTAAATTGGGAACAGAACATCTGAAAAGAACAAGGGGAAAAAGAAACACTGACCATCTAAAAAGAACCCAAGTTAAGGTAGTTTAAGTCCATCATGGAGCTTACATGCTAGTAGAGAAGACATACAACTAACAAGTGAAATAAATAAATATGTGATTTCGTGTAGCAGTACATGCTATGAAGAGAAATCAAATAGGTGGTTCTTAGGAGACTTTTCTAGGTAAGGGAAGAGCTGCTAGAAAGAAAGAAACATGACTGCAGACATTTTTTATCTTGAGCAGGAAGAGAGGTTGAGAAGAGAAGCCAGGAGACTGAGAAGAGGCAGCCAGTGAGGGGAAAGGCAAACAGTGTGGCCTAGCGAGGAACTGTTTCAACCAGAAGGGCATGGCCAACTGTGAAACTAGGAATGCCTGGTTGATTTACTACACACATTTCCCAGACTTGGGGTCACAGCCAACAGCAGGCTCAGTATTAGAAGTTATCACAGTCGGAATAGGACACGTAAACCTACAGAGCAGAGCAGCTAAGTGCATGGACTCTGAAGCCAGCCTACCTGAAGTTGAATCCTGGCTCTAAGGAAAGAAAAAAAACCTTTGCTGTGCTTGGGTTTCCCATCTGTAAAATGGAGATAATAATAGCACTTGTTTCTTCTAGTTGTGATTAAATGACTTCATATTTATAAAACACTTAGAATAAACCTGCATGAAGTTATCACCATGTAAGTCTTTGTTAAAGAGAAATCCCTATACAGTTCCCCCTTATCAGAAGGGGACACGTTCCAAGACCACCAGATAGTGCCAACAGTAAACCACAGTGCCAAACACTACGTATACTATGGTTTTTCCCTAGACATATATACCTACAATTAATTTATAAATTGGGCACAGTAAGAGATAAACAACAATAATGAAATAGATTATAACAATATAATGTGAATGTGGTCTTTCAAAATATCTCATCATGCGGTACTCTTCCTTCTTGTGGTGGATGATGTATCAGTGGGGCTGCCCCATACACAAGATGTCCCCCATGCCTTCTTCTTATGTTGCCAGAACACGTTTGTTTTTTTGTGGGGCTCACAAGATGTGGGGTTCAAATAATCTTAGTTTTTGAGAGGGTGTGGGTTCTTTTCTCTATAATAAACTATGCCTGGCTTTATCATATGACTTGTTAATGTTGAAGATAAAATTCATACACAAGATGATTATACAACTAGACAACAGTTTATGGCTAATGAATGATACAGTGTTATAAGATAAGATAATGCGAAGTTCACTACTGGTTGTAAGGATGTCTAAGGAGTGGAGTAAGAGTTTTATCTGGGTCATTACAAGATATGCAAAGACTCAAATGATTTCTCTCTCCTGTGAACTTCCTTAGGAAAATACTAAAGCAAAATAGGGAAGTAAACGAAGAGGAAGATACTAGATTCATAAAGCCAGGGCCCTAATACAAAAGCAGCAAGTCTCAGGGAAGTCTCGGGGTAACAATTAGTCAGCAGGACTAGAGGGTCACTTGCACACACTGGAGCAAGAGTAGAGGAGAGGAAGGGAAGAGAAAATGGAACTGGAAAGAGGATTTGCTGTTTCAGTGTTTCATTTGCTGTGATAAATGTTTCAAGTATTGGATCCACTGAAGCATTTGGAAAAAACAAGCAATAAATGAATTAAAAACACCACCACCAACAAAGATAAATTGAAAAACAAGGCTATTACTAACTTGAGGGGGACAGGTGAAAGAAAAGAAATAATCATACCACATTGTCTCAGCAGTGAATACTTTCATAGACCTGATAAAGTAAATACTAACTGCTTACCCCAAAATTCCTTCAAAACTATTGGAAGAATGGGGTGAAGAGGGGGGTAATAGACTGAATCTCAACTGCCCAATTCAGGAGATAATTTCTATGCCATTGCCATTAAAAAAAAACAAAGAGCATATAATTTAGAAATAGGTAAAATCCAGCAGAAAGAGCCCTAAACAGTTGTGAGTATTGCCCCTGAGGAGTGAGACAGGGGAGGGTGTTTGAGGTGGGGGGAGGGCGGGATGGTTGTTTTTCACTGTAGACCTTACAAAAGTGTTTAGAAAATAAAATCCTTTGATTAAAAATTCACCCTGGCTGGCGTAGCTCAGTGGATTGAGCGCGGGCTGGGAACCAAAGTGTCCCAGGTTTGATTCCCAGCCAGGGTACATTCCTGGGTTGCAGGCCATAACCCCCAGCAACCGCACATTGATGTTTCTCTCTCTCTCTCTCTCCCCCTCCCTTCCCTCTCTAAAAATAAATAAATAAAATATTAAAAAAAAAAAATTAAAGGAGTGAACAGAAAAATCAAAAGACTTAGAGAATTGATCATATACAGGGGCTCAGTGGAAGAGGCAATGAGACCTCTACCATTTATTAATATAACAAATATTTATCAAGCACTGTTCAGAGTCAGGCACTAAGCTAGGCCACAGGCCCTGGCTGGTGTGGCTCAATGGACTGAGTGCTGGCCTGTGAACCAAAGGGTTGCTGGTTCAATTCCCAATCAGGGCACATGCCTGAGTTGCAAGCAAGGTCCCCAGTTGGGGGCCTGTGAGAAGCAACCACACATTGATGTTTCTCTCCCCCATCCTCTCTCTCTAAAAGTAAATAAAACCTTTAAAAAAATAATTTTAAAAAAGCCAGGTCTCAGGAATACAACGGTGATGCCAGCACTCGTAGAGATTATGTCTACTACAGCAAATAGTAAACAAGAAAATAAATGCATAAAAGAAGTACAGATTGTACAGATTGCAGTAATAAGTGGTGAACTAGGAAGAAAAACAATGGTGTGGAGAAGACAGGACAGCTACTTCAGTTAAGTATGACAGGGAAGGCCTTTCTAAGATGATTTGAGACTTGAAACCCATGAAGCTCAAACCAAGGGTGGATGCGTAGAGATTCCCAAGCAGGAAAAGTCTGATGGGTCTAGAAACTGTTCAAAAACCACCACCGATAGAACACCAGGACAGAACACCACCAGAGGTGAGTGGGATGATGGCTCTAGATGAGATTGGAGCCAGATCATGTGACCATAGGTATAAATTGAGGAGTCCTCAGGGCATAGGTAACACTTAAAGCCATGGGAGGAGTTCCAACCTTCAGGAGGAAGAGCCTGTAAAACAGACTTTAAAGGTGGGGACTGTAAGCAAAAGAACAGCAAGGAAATTTGAAAACTTCCCCAACAATACCCTAACATTTTCACAATTTTCCTAAAACTACCCCCCAACCCAGTTTGTAATTAGTTTGACTAAGTTTGGTATTCATAATTCTACATCAGTTCTGGAGATGAATGGAGGTATTTCTATCCTAGAAAAATCAATTTACTATTATACAGAAAGTGATTTGCTCATCCCCACTCAAGGGTATACCAGTGTGGCGCAGAATCTTTTGAGTCATGGGGGATGGGGGGTGGGGGCGGGGCACTCTAAGATGCTCTGGAATTTCAACTGGGAAGTCGTTGAGATTGTCCCTACGACCCAGCCCCTGCCCCGACTTAAGAGTAACAATACACCTGCACACTGGGTGTGGAAAGGCAATCGAGAACGTAGCCTACGGCACGGCCTAGGGCGCAGCACTGAGCACAGCCGCCTGTCTCGGGAAATGTGATGCGGTACTGTTGCTGTTGCTGCCCCTGCGAGAACTACCCGGGGAGTCATGGCCGCGGGCGGCGTTGCCCCAGGTAAGTCAACAGCCAGGCGTGCAATGGGCCCCGCGGATAATGTCGGGAAACGGGGTCCCGAAAAAGAAAAAAGGAGAATAGAAGGAAAAAGGTAGAGGCAGCGGTGGCAGTAGCCGGATTCTCGATTTAGACCGTGCCCCATCCCCGGAGGCCTAGGGCCTCCGCCAGCCCGAGAGCGGCCTCCGCACCGCCTCCTGCGCCCCTCGTCAGACGGCGGCCGTTACTGCTTCCGAGGTCACTTTCCGGTGCGCACTCGGCAGGCGACTGCAGGGCCGCAGTAACCAACCCGCGCCTGAAGCTCGGGGCGAATGACTCCCCTCCGCCCTCGCCACGGGCTCGTCTACCACTTCCTATCCTCTTTGCGCCGCTCAGTGGGTAAAGACGCGCCCAGCGCTCGGACCGGAGCCGAGACGGCGGCCCTCCGTCGGCTAAGCCGGTCCCCTCGCCCCGCCCGCGCCCCGCCGGGGACCGCGCAGCCGGGGGCGATCCCGGCGCTGTCCAGCGCTCGCCGCCTGAGCAGAGGATGTCGCAGTGCTAGTAATGTCTGGGCCCAGGTTTCGTAAGGCGTGGGGAACCTGGGAGTGCTGCCAGCTGTTCCCGCACTCGCCTGGAGGTCTGGGAAGGCGCGGGCGGGGCGGACGAGCTACACCCCGGAAAGCCCTCTGCGTGCTCCTCTGGGTTTAGGGGAGGGCGCACTGCCCCTAAGGCGGGAGAGCAGTCCACTCCGGTCATCCCCCGGGGTGGGGTGGTTTTTTTTTAATTGTGTGACGGGGAGGCCACCGAAGTAGCCCCCTGAGTTACACCCGTGCGCTAAGTTTAGAAAGCGTAAAAGGGCTCAATAGTTTCCGATCCCAAATCTATTTTCGAAGAATGGTTTCCAGCCCCAAATTTGCATCCCGCCTCCCCTCTCAAGTCAAAATGTGGGCTCGTCCAGGTGGGGGCTGCTGGGACAGGGCGGTGCTGGCGGGAAATTAAAAATTCGGCGCTTAGCCTGCCGTTAGGCTTATTCGCATCTTCCTCTTCCCTTGCTTGCTGCAACCTGTGCCGGCGTTCTGCTCAGCCATGCCGTGCTCTGAAGAGCTACGCACCCTCTCCCCCAGCAAGCGGCCCCGGCCTGCAGAGGAGGACGGCGCGCGGCTTCGCTTCGTCCGGCTGTCTGAGCACGCCACCGCCCCGACGAAGGGGTCCGCGCGGGCGGCCGGCTATGACCTGTACAGGTGGGTGGTGGCCGCTGGCCGCCCGCGCCCCCGAGTGAGGCCAGCCCCCACGAAGAGCCTTCTGTCCCCGCCATCCCTGCCCCCTCCCAGAGGAGGCTAATTCCCGAATTCTAGAGCTTTCTTGTTAGCTTATATTCAGGCCCTCTGCTGCCATGCCACAGCTTGAAACGTTCACCTAAAAGATTACAGAAACAAATGGATTTTGGTGGGGTTTTTTTGCATATATGTACGGTTTCCGACATTTCTGTGTTGAAAATTTTAGCTTTCCTCTTTAGCGTAAATTCAGTAGGGATTTGGGCAAAGAGTTTGGAAAAGTAAGTAATATACATAAATATCCTCTGAGGCGTCACTTTGCAGCATTCATTGCACTCTCCAGGTGGAAGGTAGAAAGGAATGAGGCCCACCTTGGCCTTCAATACCTAGGCAGGATTAGTGAAGGCTGCTTTTGTCTTAAAGGGTTAATACCATTTCTCCACACGTCCATCTTTAACTTGGCCCGGAGGACAGGAAATTTCAGAATGGCCTTGAGTATGAAAAGCAAGAATGTGGTAATACTACCACCTTTGCATCTGTACACTTTTTACCTATACTAAAAACTTTTCCATATGTTATTTTTATGTCTCCACAACAATCCGAATACATGAGTGTTACTTTTTACAGATGAGGGGGTTTGTAAAGAGCTGAACTAACAGCCCAAAGGCTTGAATGTAATAGAACTTTTGACCCTGAATTCAGTGCTTCCCCACGCCTGCCTGCCCTGGACTATGGTGCCCACTTCTTAGAATCACTAAGATAAGTGAAAAGTGATAGTGGAGGTAGAGAATGTTCATTGCATGACTAAATCCTGAACCTTGGGATATTCTAAAGCATTCCAGGTCATTCTAACGTGCAGACTACTCATCTAAGTCATAAGTAAGTACAGGAGAAGAGGAGAAAGAAGTGTTATGGTAGTAAGGGAGAAAAGAAAAAGAAAAGTGAGGTTCAGCTCCTTAATTTTCAAGAGTGAAAACAGTTTGACAACATGTAGTTTGACTACCTCATGTCTGGGCACTTTTCTGAATCTTAGAAGAGACTGGTTTTAAGGCATCTGGAGCATCTTCATACAGTGAAATAGAGACGTGGGAATAACTGACCTCTTTAATAAATTAGTGTTTATTCAGAGCAAATTGCATTGAGGGAAGTAAAAATACAGTACTGCTTTACCAGTTTAACAAAGGTCTGCAGTGTAACTTCCAGTTGCACTTGTTAAATTTCTGTCAAGGGGAAGGTACAGTAATAACAGTAGCAGCATCTGCAGGGTGAACCTTAGAGAATCAGTTCCTTCACAGTGTCCGTCTCCAGGGCTGTGCATGGTGGTCAGCTCTCACCCTCAGCCAGTGAAGGCCGTGGCCACAGCTTGGTATGCTTGCTCCACTACCAGGACCGCAGGACAGACGCAGCCCAGCTCTACCCTGTGACGTGGTTCACCCACTTCCCCCTTCCTTCTGCATGGTTTCCATTATCCCTTAGAGAACTGTTGTGAGAATATATGAGTTATTATAAAACGTAGTTAGACCTGTGCCTGGGGCATAGTAAGGACTTAATAAATGTTAGCTTTTATTTACCCTTCTTTCTTAGTTCTCTCTTCATACTGTGTTAGTGAAGCATACACCTTTTTAAAGGTCTGCCTTTTCTGGCCCCTCCTGCTAAATAATTACCTGCATTTCCCAACCAAATTTTGTTCAGGGGAGAATACATTTACATCTTGTCACCTCTTTCACCAGAAAAATTCATAGAGAATTACACTATCTTAATACCAGTTATTTTTTCCCAATATCTCCCTAGTGCCTATGATTACACAGTGCCACCTATGGAGAAAGCCCTTGTGAAAACCGACATTCAGATCGCTCTGCCTGCTGGGTGCTATGGAAGAGTAGGTAAGCCACTGAAGATTCATCCTGCTCTTCCTTTGTGACAGTGTTCCTTCATCTTAGTTTTATCTGGGGTGTAAGTGAGGGGCGGGGTATTGCTCAGCCTGTGTCCCAAAATAAAAAAGTGCCTACGGTGATGGCAGCTGCAGCCATGTGAATACTTTCATCTATATACAGGCACACTCCAGTGTTGCAGGCTCTGATGCAAACACCACGGTGAAGCAACTAGCACAATAAAGCAAGTCATGTGATATTTTGGGGGCTTCCAGTTCATATAAAATTTGATGTTTACACTATATATTGTAGTCTATTAAGAGTGCTGCAGTATTATGTCTAAAAAGTGTACATATCTTATTTTTAAAATGCTTTATTTCTAAAAAAAATGTTAGTCATCTAAGCCTTCAGTGAGTTGTGATCTTTTTGCTGGTAGAGGGTTTCACCTTTGATTTCTAAAACATGCAGTACCTATGAGGCAAAATAAAACAAGGTCTGCCTGTATCTGCTTTTGCCTCTCTCGCTATTTTTTGATTGCTTACTGGAGCTTTTAGAAGGCTCACATTGGCCCAAGAGGTTCTCAGAACCAACTCACTGAAAATATAGGTGATTATTAATTGGCGCTTTTTCCAGTGTTACCACCAACTCCCCCTTCAAAAATCAGATCGCATATGAAGGCAAGATTTCCTTGTGAAGATGGTGATGAGAATGGCTCATACTAGTTATGTAAGAAAAGAGAGACAGTCTTAGGATAATGAATGGCACAAGACATTTTACATCATGGGAGCGAGACTTCTACCCTGTTGATCCCAGAGTATATCAGTCCACCTGGCCTTCTCCCTTCTCCCCTTTGGATTTACCCTCTCGGGTGCGTTAGGGTAAGGGGTATTCTTCAGAGAGGGAAACGCCTCAGAGGGAGGAGCCAGGACAAAATGGAGTGCAAGTTCACGGGTGTGACTTTTCTGAAGTGATTCAGTTGTCACTGGAGAGTTTAAAGCTTTTCAAGAGCACAAGTACTTGCTGACTAACTTCAGAGTAAACGTGAAGGAGCAAATGGAGCTGTGACCCTCCCTGTAGGGTTGGGGTGGGAGGTGGTGGGTGGCTAGACCACCACTATCTATCCTGTTAACCCAGGGTCTGAGAGCCGCTAATACTTCAGCCTTTAAGAGAAAAATGAGATTAGCTCCCTCTCTGTTTTAGAGTGTTTGTGGCAGGGGGAGGGGGGAGATCAGGAGATGGAGTGAAATGAAAGTAAAGGCAGGAAGGAGCAGCATTTATTGACAAAGATTCCTGACTTAAATTATTCTGGAATAAAATACCAGAAGTTAGAATAGTTAATGGTAGGCCTGATGCTCAAGTCAGCAAGTATAAGGTAATAAACTTAGCTTTTTATTTTTTCATTTTAAGAATAAAAGGCATAGTAAATTGATTTTTTAAGGTTTAGGCGGTTGGCTTGACTGATACTAAGCCTGTTACTCCGGTTCATTTGTTACACGCAGACTTGTCTTTCAGCATCTGTATCATGGATCGGAGTCCCAAGTTCTAGACTAAGCTCTGCTATATTTCTTCCCATCTACAATACATTGCAGCATGCTCAGAACTCCCACCTTAAAAGTCCCAGCCCTGACCCATGTGGCTCAGTTGGTTGGGCATTATCCTGCAAAGCACAAGGTCTGCCTTTCAGTTCCAGGTCAGGGCATATGCCTGGGTTTTGGGTTCAGTCCCCAGTCAGGGTTCTTACAAGAGGCAACTTATCGATGATTCTCTCTCACATTGATGTTTCTCTCCCTTACCCTCTCTTTCTCTAAAAAAAAAAAAAAGTCCCTCTGCTCTCTTCATGCCCCTGGCAGCTATAGTCCTCCCGTTGTGGCCAGAGTTCTTCACAGGTGCCTAAGTCCCCGCTTGCTCACCTTCAGCCCATTCCAGGGGTCCGTGGCTGCACCACCACTGCAGTTGTGTGGGGCTGGCCTAAGTTGGCTTCGAATTAAACCTTGTCTGATTTTTCTGAACTAATTGACTTGGGTAATACGGTAAATAAATGTATTCTTTAATTCAGAACCATCTGCTAAAGTTAAGATGAAGATATCAGTGGTAGGATGTGAGTCAATTATAGCCAGTAATTGCCCTTCCACCGTAAAATAGCCAATTTCTTCTTTTTTGTTTTCTAGCTCCACGTTCTGGCTTGGCTGCAAAACACTTCATAGATGTAGGAGGTATTGTATTTACATTTTTATTTTGTAAATATTTTTAAGTATTTACTTTGCTTAAGAGGAAGTAATCAAGTGAAAAATTTTATATTTAAAATAAGGAAATGGTTTTTGTTGTTCCTTGCCTTTCAGAAATTTCTCTGAATAATAGACAATTGTGATATTTCAAATGCTATGTGATTATATGTAACCCTTGAATGACCATTATGTGAAATGCATGTTGTTTTACTAATAGGCTTACTAGACACTGACAGATAGGATTTCTGCTTTGGTTTAGTGATAATCCACATTTAGTCCAAAAATGACTCCATTCATAGAAGAAACTTTGTTATTATAAGAGAAGGAAAAGCTTTTATGTCATCTAAGCAATTATATTTTGCTTAAATAATTGCTAAGTGTGTAATAATAATTATTTAAGCAAAATTTTCTAGAAAATGCCGTTTCATCTTATAGTAGGAATTTTCTTAACCTCCTTAAAGGAGAGGAATCTATGTTTGGCAAAATATAAAAAGAGAATCTTTCCCTAGTCGGAGAGCAGACACAGCTTTCCTATCTAAATTTCTTGCTGAGCCAGTCCTCCACGGCTCCTATTTCTTTTATAACAAAGCCTTACTCGTGTCTCCAAAGTCAGCAACTTGCTTGCCAGGTCCCTCTCATGAAGAAGCCCTTGGCTCCTGCTGGCCACGCTGATAAGATGTCTCACTGCCCCTTGCTGTACAGAAGTTCCCTCCTTCCTGATAATGCCTCCCTTGCTTCCAGTCTCATTACTGGGTACAGACCCCACTGACAGGGCTCTCCTGTCCTGACTCTTCTTTTTTTTAATGTTTTTCCTCCAGTTTTCTTTTTTATTTGTGCCATGTAATTTTCTTATAATAGCTTTATTGACATATAATTTACATTTCAGACAACTCACTCAACTTAAAGTGTATAGTTCAATGGTTTTAAGTGTATTCACAGAACTGCAATTGCCACCATTAATTCCAGAACATTTTCATCACCTGTCAAAGAAACCTCATATCCGTTACTACTCACTCCCTCTTGCCCCTCAAACCAATAGCCCTGCGTAGCCACTAACTTATTTTATGTTAACATAGAACCATATTTAATACTTGGTTGAATTTTCCATTATAAGTGGAAACAGGAATAATCAGAAAAAGAAAAAAGCCTATGCTCACCTTAGAATTTCTGCCATAATGTGGCTCCAAGCACCTCTGTCCTCAACAAACATGCTGAGGCAAGGGAGGGGGTGCTGGGTGGAGGTGGGCAAAGAGGGGGGAAATGGGGGTCCTCTGTAATAGTGTCAACAGTTTTAAAAAGCTTAAAAATTTGTAGATAAATCTCTAATTGATAGATTCATGGAGAGTTTCATGGAACATCAGTGTTTTAGAAGTGATCAGGAAAGGTGACACCACACATTTTCCTGGTGCCTCTACCAGAAACAGCTAGCAGTGTCCTGACCCTCCCTCCTCCCCACTCACAGTAAGTAGTGAGGGCTTCACGTACAAGACCTCTTGGCCCTCGGATAAATGGGTGTGCTAGGCTCTCTGCCTCCCTCCATTTTTACAAAGCTGCTTTCCAGCAGATGAGAACACTGGCTCAAAGATGAGCCCAGGTTACACATTGAAAACTGGAATCTCCATACGATTCCAATCTGCTCGTTCTTTCCACCACAGTCAAATGCTGTGGATCACCCTGCCACATCCACCACCAACCAAGCTCTGTCTTGAGTTAGCTTGTTGTCACCTGCACCACCTGAGCCAAGAATGGGATGAGGCCTGTCCCTGGGCTATCTCTTGTCTGCCCCTTGGGCTCCCCGTGGTATCACTGGATGGTGCTGTGGGGCGAGCCAGGAACCCAGAAGTGTAGTCCCTAAGAGAAGCTGAGCTTGACACAACAGGAACGGACAGACCACTGGGGTTGAAGATTATCTGGGCACATTATGTTTGATTTTAAAAAATAACTTAAAGTCAAGTATGATAACTTAGCATATAAATTAAAGATATAAACAAAATTGTACATAGCCCTGGCCAGTGTGGCTCAGTTGGAACATTGTCTTGTGGACCAAAAAATCATGGGTACGATTCCTGGTCAGGGCGCATACCTAGGTTGCAGGTTTGATCCCTGGTTGGGGCACATTTGAGAGGCAACTGATCAATGTTTTTAATGTGAAAACTTTGTTACTAATATTTGCTGCTTAAAACAAGCCTCTGCTTTAAAAAAAATTCATGTAAAAGAAATGGAAAGTTAGTTTTTGTGATGGTTGGTGTGGTATTATTTGTAAAATCACACTGGTGTGTTCTTGGATGCAGAATATCTTAAAAATGTCTCTTAGGCCCAAGTTTAGCATAGCTGGCCACAGAATTTAGTTCAGAGGAGAGATGTTGTTAGAAATCTCAAGCTGTAAATAAGGGTCAAAGGGAAAAGTTGAATATGCAGGATTCTGTTCAGAATTCACATCTGGTAGGTGTGGATAGTTTTTCACTAAAGGTTTCCAACAAATGACATGCCAAAGTCTTGACACAGTAAAAGTTTGCCTGAAGTCAGTTCATCACCCTGCCAGTTCCAATGTCTGATTTTTCCAGTGATGACTTCAAAATACTTTCTGCTTTCTCTCAAAGAGAAATATTCCTGATGTAACTTACGTCCCTTATGTGGGTTTTTCTTGAAGGTCAAATTGCCTTTGAGTGGTAAATGAACTAGGAACTATTGGATATTTTTATACTGTTGGCATTCGTGCTAAAAAATAATTCTAATTGAGGACCTTTTTTTTTCTTCCCTACATTGTAATTGACTTCAGATAACTTCATTTCTTTTAGTTGGTTGAAGGCATTTCCCATGTCTGTGGCAAGCACAGAATCTTGGCAGATCACCTGGCATTGCAGAATCCAGCACACCCAGCCATTTGAGTTTGATAGAACAGCTTTACTGATAGATAGGAAAGAAAGGCCTTTACAGAAGGGGAGTGTATTTTGTGTGGTAGAAGATAGCATAGACTAAAAAACTTAAATTACTTATAAGACATGAGAAAGTTAAATTCACAAACAGATAAGAAAAAAATATAAAATACAGAAGGGGACATGCAAATGTGCAACAACTGTACAGAGGAGGAAAGCCCAACCTCACTAGTAGTGATCAGGGAAATGCAAAGTAATGCCATGAGATACCATTTCTTAGCACGTTGACTGGAATTACAACGATTGTTACCATCTGGTACTGCGGGGACTTGGAAATGGGTCTTAAGTATTGGTGGTGGTGGTTTCAAAGGATGTCTATGATATTTTAACTGGGAAAAAAAAGGAAAGGAAATGTGAAATATATTACTATAATACTGTAACATTGGCTACCTGAGGGAGGGTAGGGGAATGTCATTAGCTTTTATTTTATATATACTTGTAGAATTTGCATAATCTAAAATGTTCTAATAAAATAGGAACAAAAGAATTCAGTCAGCCCACATTGTCTTTAACACATTCTTAATAAATGAGTGCAAGTCTATACTTCACACCTCGCAGCGTGGAGACCTGTGCCTCCTGTGGTCATCTGTTCTGGCCTGGAATGAACAGCGTGCTTCTGTGGAGGGGCTTCTTCATTAAACGTCATCCAAGTTGCTCCTGCAGCCAAGACTTTCCGCGTACAGACAATACAGGAAAGAGATGGTCCCATTTTTATATCAATTCTTCCAGTAAATGTTGAGGACTGACGTAGTCGTCAGCTGATGTAGTGGGAAAGAAACCAGCTTCCTTGTTCTTGGGATTGTTCTTTGCCATATAAGAAGAAGGACTGTTTTAAGAAGTCCTTAGCATTCATTTCCACTTATCCGTAGTAATTCATTCATAAGGCTCATTTAAACTTCTGTAATTCACTGGGAACATCTAGAGTGTTGGTTTTCTGAGTATTTTTCCTATGGTGGAACTTTTTTAAAAGTTGTTATTTTTTTCTCTATATGAGAAAATTGAAAGGAAATACCCTCATTCAAAAACTTTTTTTTTTTTTAGTTGACCTTCAGATAATGAGTCCTGCCAACCAGCATTGGTACCCATGGAGCTAAACTCCTGATTATGTTCATTTACTTTTTTCTTTGATAAGAGGATTTATTTATTTATTTATTGAGTTAGGTGTTAGTGCGATGTTCCATGGAGCTACATTTAATTAGATTCACCTGAATTCCATTCAACATTCTATAAACCGAGGGGAAAGAATTAACATCTATGGAGGAAATTGGCAGGGAAGGTGGTTTGGGGGTTGGAGAGTGACTTTGGTAGGTAGGGGTTTCTTTTGGAGTAATGAAAATGTTCTAAAATTGATTGTGGTGATGGCTGTACAGCTCTGAATATACTAAAAATCATTGAGTTGTGAATTATGTCTCAATATTAAAAAAAGGAAATGAGAGGGCCTAGTGCACTTATATTATTTGTGGAAACACTTTAAATTCTTGGCCACAGACCTTGCGGACAAGTCTGGTAAGTGTGCCCTCTGGGACGAAGCAGGGCCTGGCTGCCCTTTCTCGCTTGCCCTTGCGTTTACGGTCTCAAACGGTACCGTCTCCACGGGAGTCTGTGAAAGTGTGCTCATCATTAAGCTTATGTGCTATTATCTTCCGAGAGAGTATTCTCTAAGAAAAGATGGTGCTCAAATTAAAAGGAGTGAAAAATTATCAATTGAAAGGTTCAGCTCTGTTTTTGTTACAAAAATTGAATGTTGGGGTATTTGCTTGACAGCTGCTTCATGGTGTCAGCGTCAACTCTACTGCAGAGCTTCGAGCTTCTTGACACTTTTATTTATGACTCAATCATATTTCAGTGTGGATATTAGTGGGAAGCCGCTGCCAGGAAAAGCCTTTAAAACCCAAATCATAATTTTCTCCTAGTCTGTTTTGGCAGGCGTGCAGCAGAGAGACAGTGGGTTTGGGAAGAGCAGTTCAGGGTGACCTGCTGAGTGCCTGCTCACAGTTTAGAGTAGGGAATAGTCACCATTTGTAAGGGTGACAGGTTGAAAAAGAAGGGCTCTCTTCTAAATTCTTACTTGCCTATTAGTAATATTTCTTAGCATTGAGGCTTTGAATAGTACCAAGCAAGATTCACTCATTCAGTTGTGTAAAAATCTCAGAGTCGCAGAAGAAGGATTTTGAGGTAATTATACACTCACAGTGTTTTGGTAGCATAAAAGAAGTTAATATGACTTTTCTTTTCTCTAGCTGGTGTCATAGATGAAGATTATAGAGGAAATATTGGTGTTGTACTGTTCAATTTTGGCAAAGAAAAGTTTGAAGGTATGTTAAATACAGTCATGTGGATGCAGTGAGTTTTCAGTTTTATGTGTTAAAATAACATACTCTGATTCTCGTACAAGGCAGGATATAGAAAATGTATTGATAAAAGATCAGTAATAAGCTGTTTTTCTTTTCCTCTTTGAAGTTAAAAAAGGTGACCGAATTGCACAGCTCATTTGTGAACGGATTTATTATCCAGAAATAGAGGAAGTTCAAGTAAGTATCACAAAAATTGAGCAGGGAATGAGTAATGTAATGTCTTTAGTGGAGGAAAATTAAAATTTTGAGGATTCAGTATGCTATTTATAACTAAATGGTAGCATATATGACTAGTCCCATTTTAAGCAAAATTAAAATGCTAGTTTTAGAATTTCTTGAAATTTTCACAACTTTGGATGATAAATCATTTAAATATCGGTAGAATTCTATTTCCTTAGATTTTTTGGGAAATTATTCAATATTTAAATTTATGAAGCTTTTTGAAAATTTATTTATTTGGTAATTTTTTAAAAAGATGGAATAGCATGAAGGAAAGTCTTACTAATGAGGAGCCGGGAGAACTGGAAGAGGGCCAGAGACTGACGATGCAGCCTGCCGCTCTCCTCTCTCTCTCTCCAGGGTCTGGACGACACGGAGCGGGGCGCGGGGGGCTTCGGTTCCACCGGGAAGAACTGAAATGTATGCCGACGACAGGAAATGGGAAAACGCTTGTTTCTTAAAAATCAGAAGTTGGTTTGGTTTTGTTTTTGTTTTTTTTGTGCTTACTAGCTTTAGCTGCTAAAAATACTTAGTTCTCTTATGAGCAAGGAAAGTGTATATTTTTCTGCATTTGATTGTTAATATAAATCTGCATGGTAGCCTAACAGTTTATTTTTTCAGTCAAATGTACATCAGTTCCTGATGCTCTCCAGAGCTCTTCTTTAATTTACTAAACCCTACTCCTTGAACAAGGTGTTTGCTTTATAAATGATATGCAAAGCCTTTTATTCAATAGATTTTAATTTTTTTCAGATACAGATTATTACATAAACTGAAATAAAAGACAATAAAAAGTTATTTCTTGTCCTTTTCATTGATCTTAAATTTTTTAAATATATATGTATATAAAATCTAAACATTTAAGATTTCTTTGTGAAGGTGGGAAGAAGAGAATCATCAGTTTATTTTTAGGGTCTGTTTTAAAATCTTTTGTTGTATGCTATGTTGACTGGGTAGAGTATGTTTGTGAAAGGAAATGTAACGGGAATTTCCCGTTGATTTCCTGTGAATTTTAGTCCATCAAGTAGATTGTAGGAGATGTAGATATATGGGTTCCCCTCACTGAAGTAGCAGTAATAGGCTGTATCCACGAAAATATGCAATTTAACTGAGATAAAATACAATAGATAAAATGATCTATGCTTAGTCCACTGGGTTTGTCCCACCCGTGTACTCGTGTTTATGTGTGTCTAAGCAGCATTTCACTTCAGGTGGGGCTGTGTTGGAGGACTACGCACATTTTGCCTCGTATAATGCACGCCCATATTTTTGGCCCAAACTTTCAGAAAAAAAAAATATGTTAATTTTGTAATTCAATTATTTATTTATATTTAGATACTTGAGGGTTTTTTAACTATAAAGGAATTTTAGCATTTATTTTTAAGCATGTTATGGTGTAAGAAATTTTATGTACCAGTAATGGAATTAGTACTACCCATGTATAATGCACACCCTTTTTCCCCATCAAAAATTTGGGCAAAGAAGTGCACATTATACACAGCAAAATATGGTAGTTTGATGAACATTACTGGCACCTTCTAGATGTGCTTTCTCCCAGGCCCCTTTACAGCAGGGCTCTGGGTGTCGCGTAGGCCCTGTCAGGCACACTGGCATGGGACTCGCCCCCACTCTTTCTTGGAAGGTGGGGCATGCAGCAGAGTGCTCCTGGAGCTGGCAGCTGCCTCAGCTGCCGGGGTCCCAGTAGCCCGGGCCAGAGTTCGTTTCTTCTGCCCTCCCAGTGATTCTCCGAGTCATTCAGTGCCCTGCAATGTAGTAGTTTCCATCTGTGGGTCACGGTCACGATCCATTAGTCATAAAATGAACACAGTGGGTCATAACTATCATTTTAAAAAATTGAATAGGAAAACAGGACAACACATGTCAGGTGGGTAAATACTGTGAACATTGTTTGAATTACATATTTATGTGTGTATACTGGGTCATGGTATAAATTATTTCTGCAGCTTAATAAAATTTATATAAATCCTTTTATGCTAAACTAGCCAGAGTAGATTCTGTTCTCTGAACCCTAACCATGCATCATGACGGTTGAGTAAGAGCAAATAATATGACTACCAAGAGATACAGCCTTACACTGTTAATGTTAGTTACCACTAACTGAAAGTCCACTATATTAAGCACTTACAAAATGCCTGTTTCTCATAGCATACCTGTGGGAGAGTAGATAAAACACATTTTATAGATGACAAAAATCGGCTCAGAGGTGTTTTAACTTGCTTAACACTTCAGCTAATATGACCACTATTAAAACCTTGGCAGCACTTCTATCTTTCAAGTGGTAGAGAGACTATGGGGTGGAAGAGATGGTTAATGAAAGTCCTTCTCTGGTTCAGACCTGGAATATTGTTCCATCTGTGCACCATACTTGGAAGATGCTGAGATCTGCAGCTGCTTTAAAAGTTAGAGACTTAGAACCACATCCAAGGAGGGTCCATGGAAGACCTGGCTGTTGAAAGAAGTGTGTGCTCCTCTAAAGAATAGGAGGCGTGATGGGGAGGGTCAGGTGGCAGGAGGGGGTCCTGGGATTTGAGAAATTCCTAGATCATAAAAGACTCAAAGGGAGTTAGGCTTGTCAGACCTGAGGGATTGGCATCAGCACTTAAACTGCAAGTGTTATCTGTGAGATAATAGAAAATACATATTGGTCCCTGCCCCTGGTTCCTGACAGCTCATAAAACCCTTGTAATTTCCTAAGTGATAAGGGGCATCTCTTGTCTTAACATTGGTCTTCAACCTCTGTTCCTGACACAGCTCCTGAAACCCTCGTCATTTCCTGGGCGACAGAAGTGTCTGGTTCTAGTAGGGGACTGTGTGGGCTCCTGGATGAGCGCTTGTCACCAGGAAGACCATGAGCAGAAGCTGAGAGTTTTCAGCCCCATTCTCCATTCTCTTGGGAAGGGAGAGGTCTTGAAAGTGGAGCTAATAATGGACCATGCCTATGTGATGAGGCTTCAATAAAATCCCGAAACGGGTTCAGAGAGCCTCCAAGTAGTGCCCAGACGGCGTGGAAGCCCCACTCCCCTTCCCACATACCTTGCCCTGTGCTGCTCTTTTTTCCGGATCTTCATGTGTACTTGACGGTATCCTTTAGGAAACGAGACCTAAGTGTTTCCCTGAGTTGTGTAAGCTGCTCCAGGAAATTAAATCAAACCTGAGGAGGGTGGGTCTTTAGAACCTCTAATCTATAGTTGGTCAGAAGCACAGGTGATAACCTGGGTTTAAGACGGGTTTTTGAAGTGTGTGTGTTGGGGGGTGGGGGAGATGGAGGGGCATTCTTGTGGGACTGAGCCCTTGTGGGATAGCTTCCAGTATCTTCAGGAAGACGGTGTCAGAATCAAATTAAGTTGTAGGACACTCAGCTGGTGTCACCGAATTGCTTGGGGTAGGGGAACACCTCCACACATCTGATAACCAGAGTGAAATATTTTATGTGAGTAGTAAAGGATACTCACGGGGAAGACAAGACAGCAGGGAAGAATGATTTCAACAGCTCAGTAACTTCCAAGGCAGTTTTCCTAATCCTTGACGGTTCTGCCTCACTGACAATGCCCACTGTCCACTCCTGTCCCCAGTACTGCATACATCAGAAGGGAAATAATTGGGTGACTTCACAGACCAATCTAACATTCTACTACTTAATCTACCTTGGTGCCTGTCCACAGAAGAAGCCACATCCTTGTACTTAAACAATTGGCCTAGATGGATGGGGGGTGGGGTGGGCACCTTCTCTTGATAGTACTTCCTGCCACATAACCATCTTCATCCCACCGGACAGGAGAGAGCAAAGGATCATTTCCTCAAATTCATTTTTTGTCTCATCAATGGAAACATGGTGCCAGGTTAGAGGGCTAAGATACACAGGCGCCTGGAGTCTTATGAAGTGAATGTATCAGAGTTTGGGACTAATGGGCCTCACAAATATCCACATCATTACATGAGTGTCGAGTCTAAATTGTCATACAGGGCATTCTCAGCAAGGCTCCTACCCCAGTCAGCTTGCTTTGACTATCCCAAATCACCCTAGGTCCTCTCTCCTTTGCCCTCTCCCTGTTTCTTTAACTCAAGCGGTGGTCCCTGTTAGGAGGGTACTGATAGTTTGTACTTACCTCTGGCCCCCAACTTTTCCTCCCTCCTAACCTCTACTGCATTCCCATAAAATGATGGTGGTAGACTGTTAAGACCTGCAGCTACAGAGAAGGATAGAAACCACGTGAACCAAAATTTACTAATAGTGGTAATGATATTTATAGATTCAGAGAGCACCCCTGTATATGGAGGAACCTTGACAAAAGCCGCACTAAGAGGCATGTAATCAGTCATTCTAGTAAACATAATGTGATTGACATTTGATCAGGCATTTAAAGCCATTTTATTTTATGCTCCTTAGTGTAAAATACACTATTTTATGTACCTGACCTGATCCTTTCAACTGAGAAATACCCTCTAGTATTGTGTCATCTTCCAAAGAAGAGAGGTGAGGTGAGAAGGAATAACTTCTCAAAGTGAAAATAAAATGCCTTCTGCCGAAAAGATGTATTTCCATTTGGAGATGGGTTAGGGACACAGCATTTCGACATTGCCGTTCTCTTTACTGAAAAGAAAATGAGAAAGATGTATAAATTAAACTGAAGTTTTCACTGAGAGAATCTTCTAAAGAAGTATATGAAGAAAAAAGTATTAAAAATGGTCTCTTCTTATCAGCAAGTAAACATGGTTAAGTTGGGAGAATTTTAAAAGATTCAGGCAGTATCCTAAAGACAATGTCTAACTATGAAGTAAGGTTATAGAGGAAAATTAAGATTAATTTAACAAGTTATTAAATTATGTTCTGGTTTATATCTAAATTTTTAAATGAGTAAAGAAAATTGTCTAATTTTTCAATTTAAAATAAAAACCTACATTTGTTATTTTTTTTAAATATTCTTTTTTTATTGTTGTTCAAGTAGAGTTGTCTCCATTTTGCCCCTATAACTCCCCACCACCCCACCCACCTCCACCTCCTACCATCAATCCTACCCCCCTTCGGCTTTGTCCACGTGTCCTTTATACATGTTCCTTAATGACCCTTCCCCTTCTTTCCCCCCTTATCCCCCTCCCCCACCCCCTCTGGTTACTGTCAGTTTGTTCTTTATTTCAGTGTCTCTGGTTATATTTTGCTTGCTTGTTTGTTTTGTGGATTAGGTTCCACTAGTAGGTGAGATCATATGGTTGTCTTTCACTGCCTGGCTTATTTCACTTAGCATAATATTCTCGAGTTCCATCCATGCTGTCACAAAAGGTAGGAGCTCCTTCTTTCTTCTGTGTAGTATTCCATTGTATAAATGTACCATAGTTTTTTTTTTAAGTATATTTTATTGATTATGCTGTTAACATTATCCCAATTTTTCTTCTCCTCTTTATCTTCCTCCACCCTGAACCCCCCACCCTCCAGCATTCCCCTGAACCCCTAAGTTCTTGTCCATGGGTCATACGTATAAATTCTTTGGCTTCTACATTTTCTACATGTCTATTTTATGCCTAACAATTATGCTTTTTATTCTCTGTACATTTTCCCCCAATTTTTCCCCTTCCCCTCCCCACTGATAACCCTCCATATGATCTCCATTTCTGTGATTCTGTTCCTGTTCTAGTTATTTGCTTAGTTTTTGTTTTTGTTTTTTAGATTTAGTTGTTGATAGTTGTGAGTTTGTTGTCATTTTACTGTTCATTTTTTGATCTTCTATTTCTTAGATAAGTCCCTTTAACATTTCATATAATAAAAGCTTGGTGATGATGAA